ATATATATATATATATATATATTCTAGGCAAGGCAATAATTTAATTGTGTGCAGATATGTGGGTAGTATAAATCTCACAATACTATAGTGAAAATGCATGCATACACAAGCATGTTGCGCAACTTTCTTTTATACGAAATCTGGATGATATACGCAGTGCATTTGGTATAATAGTTGTGGTTTTGTGCAGGGTGAAATCGAGTATTCTGGGATCGAGGGAACAACTCTGCATCAACTCCAAAGTTGTAGCTTTAGACAGCAACAGTGCCAAAACACATCTCTGTCGGCAGATGACGAAACAACGAGCGTGCTACTTTCACACCAAGTTTGATGGTTGGTTCGAGTAATATTAATAATATTAATGTGTATATATATATATATATATATATATATATATATATATATATATATTACACCACATGCATAGAGCTAATGCGTGGTAACATAATGTGGTATATTTTAATTGTTATTTCTTGCATATAAGAATTACTGTATCGAAGTGATTAACACAACAGATAAAAAAAACTCGGTTTTGTCTTCACTGGTAACCATGCGACCGGCTACATATTCATGGTGTCGCACACGTGTTATAATGATGTCTGGTCTTGACTATTTGTTGTAGACATGCGACAGAAGACCACTGATGTGATGAGGGACGTCTGTGGCAAGGAAAACAACGTCATGGACATAGAGGACCTTGTCACTGTCGGACGCAAGAAGCAGTAAGTGATGCGACTTTATGGGTTTCAAAAAAACGTTCGTTTTCTTTCACGATAAATCCATGTAATTAACCTGCTAGTAAGAGTCGACGATGAATTGCTTGGTAGCTTTTTCAAGCCGCGCAGTGGACTTGTGCCCATCGGACGAATCTATTATTTAATAGGCGAATTTATTTAACCTGTTAGCGACGATTTTAACAACCAATCAAGTTGTATTTGTCAAGCTGAATTAACCTGCCAATCGGTCCCGAGGACTGCTCCCAAAACCTGCTGTTTAGTTCTTGTCACGTGTTGCCATCTGGTGACAAGCTCAAGCAACTTTATTCGGACCGACAAGATAACTAAATCGGTAGTCAAAACAAAACTTTCGCTAACAGGTTGCGTGCATGAGTTCGTCATAAAATCAATTTACTCATATTGTCATGAAATCCGATAAATTTGTTCTGTGCCATTACATATATACTTTGACATTTTACAAAAATGTACAGGTGTCATTGCATGCAAACGTTCTATAGTTTTGGTTATCTGGTTTTCTTCCTAATCTAGTATGATTGCACACTTCCCTTCGCAGAGTTCTACTTATGGGTTCTTACTTTGATCTCTTTCTGTGTAAAAATTTGGTTCTTGTGCAGGGTGCGAAATTAACGGGAGTCCGGAGTCAAATACTCCCTGATTTACTGTCGGACTCCCTGATTTGACATATGCAGGAGTCCGTGTGACTCCCTGAAAATTCTGCCGTACTATACTAACTAGTTCGTTCCACAGCACGGCCTCGCAGAATTGCCGTATTTTTTCAGCAAATCAAAGAAAATTTGGCAGACGTGCAACTGCATGAATCTTCAAAACAAGCACGTGTTATAATTTTGAACTTCAGACTGCGGACTCCATCATTTTGCTGCGGACTCCCTCTTTTTGAGGGTAGGGAGGACTACCGTGTTCAAAAATTAATTTCTACCCCTGCTTGTGTGTTTGCCCGTCGACAGGGTATGTCCGTTCTACATGACTAAGGAGGGTCAGGGTACGGCGGATATCATCTTCATGCCCTACAACTACCTACTCGATCCTACCTTCAGGAAAATTAACAATATCGACGTCGCCAACTGCGTCCTGATATTTGACGAGGCACACAACCTGGTAAGTTTCTATAGGACAAGTTTCATCAAATAGCGAATAGTCACAGTCTCACCGATCGTTACATTTTTGTATTTCTGATTGGACATCAGTTTCTACAGTAGTGCGTACAGATCATGCTGGTAAGTAAGATAATACCTTAAACTATAGAAGTTAAATATAGAGGTGATAATATAGAAGTAACTTTATACGGCATCAATAATAGCAAGATACATACTATAGGAGCAGAATGAAGTATAGTGATAATATAGGATAATGATAGCGATAAATTAGTAAGGATAATCTATGAGCATAACATATTAGGACGAAGGTAATATAATGAGAATAATATTACGGATAATCCATACCTCACTCTTATCATATATCTCACATGGGGTATCGTATAGACATTACATCCGGTTTTACTATTCATTGTCGTAATGTTACTCGGTGCCTGATGTCTAAGAACTGAGGTGCATCACTAGTGTGTGTGCGCTGATGAACTACGAAAATACAGGTGCCGCCGGTGTGCTGTGGGGCTTGTGGTGTGTGTTTGGTGGTAGGCGAGGAGGGATAATCGTGTGGTGCAGTCGATTCTCACACGAGTTTACAGTGCGGTACATGATGGCGTTTAGTGAGCAGTTAGCATGTGCCAGGGTGCGCATGTCGCGGCGTCCTGTGGGGTGCGTGTAACTACACGTACAGGTTATAACTTTACAGCGTAGCAGTTGAGATACTATGTGACGCTACGGTGAGTTGAACTTGGTGTGTGTGCGTTGCCGTTAGTGCTTATTCCTGTCCATCCTGTCTTCAGGAGCAGATGTGTGAGGACTGCGCATCTACGGAGCTTCGTTCCAGCGAGCTCGCGATGGCAATCAACGAGGTTCAGGACCTGCTCACAAGGAAGCTGCAGCAAGAGGGCGGGGAGGAGGTGGCTGGGTCGCCATGCCCTCCGCCGAGCCGGCTGTGAGTGTCAGACGAGAAGGTTGGAGGAAGGGGAAGGGGGGAGGAGGTGCTGGGGGTTGCCATGCCCTCCGCCGAGCCGTGTGAGTGTCAGAGAGGAAGGGGGAAGAGTGAGGAAAGGGGAAAGTGGAGAAGGTGGAGGGTGGGAGGAAGGTGGGAGGGTGGGGGAGAAAATGGGGAGGGAGGGGAGGTGGGGCAGAGCTGCTGGAGGTTGTTGTACCCTTCCTCGAGCCATGTAAGTGTCGGAGAGGAAGGGTGAAGGTGGCAGGAAGGGGAAGGGGGGAGGAAGGAGGGAGGGTGGGAGGAAGGGGGAGGCGAGGAGGAAGGTGAGTAAGGGAGGGGAGAGTAGTGAGGGTGTGGGGCTGTAGGAATAGTGATATGAGTGAGGAGCAGCATAGGCATGAAAGCCGACAAAGATTCGTCATGCAAATTTCTCACGTTTCCTATCTATGGTTTCATTGCAGCGGCGGATTATTCAGTCAAGGACCTTAGCCTTCTCAAAACACTTCTACTGGACCTTGAGGCAGCCATTGATTCACTACCATTAAGCGTGAACAAGACCCTAAAGAAAAGCGGGATGTAAGTTAAAATTACTAGATCTGCTGTAGCGTTCGCAACGCCCTGCCTTCATCGTGATTTTTCTGCCCGCATTTAACAAAATCAATTACCCCACCGTTCCTGATTCTGGTGATGTCTTGCATACGGCAGTAGATTCCCACTTATTATAGGTATATTTCTTGATAAACTTAATGTTAAAAACTCATAAATAATCCATGGAATAACCCATTTAATGTACGTAATATTTTTTAGATAAATTCTACACGTAAATTATATAAGGTATCAGGGTGTGAAATTAACGGAGTCAAATACTCCCTGATTTACTGTCGGAGTTCCTGATTTGACATACGCAGGAGTTCGTGTGACTCCCTGAACAATTCGATGCCATACTACTGTATTTTTTTCAGCTAATGTCAAAGAAAATTTGAGCAGACGTGCAACTGCCATGAATCTTAAAAATAAGCACATGCGTTATTGTTAATAATCTTAATTCTTGAACCTCGAGACTGCGGAACTCCCTCTTTTGAGGTAGGATCGAGTTCGTTGACTCCTTTTTAAAATGTTAATTTCTACCCCGGAGTATATATTATTTAAGGTAGTATTTTGACATAAATTTATTTATATAGGTTACTATTTTGAGCTGCTGGTTTCGGTTGGGCATTAAAGACGGGGAACGTACTGTACCTTGCTCGACCTGACGGATAAACTGCTACACGAGTTGCATTGAACAGGAAGGGGGGTCCTTTATCGCGCGGCGGGGGCGCGGGTCTCACAAGTCACGATCTTCTCAAGGTCAGCTGGCGCCCTCTGTGACACGTGTTTGGCGAACGTTGTGACAGAATGCGATTCAGTGGCGGATCGAAAATGTCATTATTTTGCTGTTGCGGTTATGTCAGGTTTTTTCACTTGGGTGCGGTTGGGACATGCAAATTACTAAATTCTTTTTATCATTGTGTAATATATCCGTAGTTCAAGATTTGGGGGCATACGTAACATCGATGCCCCTGTATATTGCCACTGTCCACAAAAACCCTACAACAACACAGAAAAAACAACTGTAATTTTAAGTATATAGGCACGATTTTCGAACGGCGTTGGCCGCTTTTTAAAAAAAAATAACAATTTTCCGGATTCTCTACGTTAACTCCTCGGCATTTCCCCGCAGCTTCCTTCCGTTGATTAAAGGGCGTGAGGTGGCGTCCGCCCGGTGGCCGGAGCGAGGCGGCGCGCCGGCACGGCAGCGATCTATCGCGACCTTCCGTCCAGCCGTTCGAGGAGCAGAGTGGTCCGAGAAGACAAGCAATAAGCGGGCAAAACCCGTGGAGTCAGCAAGGTGACGAAGAAAGGTGAGAGATATTGGTCCCTTTGTAAGGATTGACATTTGGGCCATGGTTGGCCATTTGCTTTGGCAATATGACATTAGGCCGATCGTTTGTCAATAAGTGTGTTCATGGCTAGCGAGTTCGCCTCACTGTCGCATAGGACGTTATTACGATGTATATTTATTATGATGCTTATATTACCATTGTGTATAGACCACGAAGCAAGGTGAGTCCTTCGTTCAGTGCATGGTGGAGCGATCCGTTGGTGAGAGGGGTTGCGCCGAGTCATCCGCGCGGCTTCAGAAGGGCGTTTACGGAGGCCCCGCATATCCTTATGGCGTTCGCGTGGTTTTTACGACTATATAAGCTTTAGCGTTCGTTACTCAGCCAAATCCTAGGCAGCTCCAGGTTTGCACTTGCAAATTTTGCGTCTGTGGAGGTCATTTGAATTATTTATGAAAATTTTTACGGCGGCCGATTTGTTTTGTCACGTGTGTTTGAAAGACAGCTATTCCATGCGCGCGTTACACAGCTTAGTACTCCTAGGCACTCCTGGGGTTTACGACTAGGCATTTAGCGCTGCGGTTAACACAGCCGTTCCTATATGGCCACTCTGGGTTACGACTAGACTTTATGATGCATTACAATGGAAGCAGGGTGAGAGTTGCTGCAACCGCCATCCCTTCAGCCCAATAGATTTCAGCGGCCTTTCAGCTCGTGCGTGTACGGAAGCCAAATCCACGTTTTGTCGCGACCTGTATTCAACTATATATACTCTATAATTATTACTCTATTGTATATTAACTAAACCAGCGCCTCGTGCTCGTCTGTTTCGTGGTGTGTTACAGGTCGCGACGCTGCCACTACTGGCTGTCTTCAGCCGCCGACGAGGCAGGACGATATACCGCGTAATAACTAACGATGACACGCGTTGTTACGTTGTTGTAGGTCGCACGCTGCACTACTGGTGTTTCAGCGCTGCCATGCAGGACTACCGCGTAATAACTAACGATGACACGCGTTGTTACGTTGTTGTAGGTCGCACGCTGCACTACTGGTGTTTCAGCGCCCGCCATGCAGGACTACCACGTAATACACTAACGATGACAGCGTTGTTACGTGTTACGAGGTCGCCACGCTTGCACACTGGTGTTTCAGCGCACGTGCAGGACTACCGGGTAATAACTATACGATGACACGCGTTGTTAGTTGTTGTAAGGCTGCACGCCTGCAACTCTGCGCTGTTTCAGCTGCTGGCTCGGCCTATGCAGGACTACCACGTATAAACCTAACGATGACACGCGTTGATTCGTTGTTGTGAGGTCGGCACTGCTGCCACTACTGGTGTGTTTCAGCGCCCCATGCAGGACTACCACGTATTAACTAACGGATGACACGCGTCTGTTAGTTGTTGTAGGTCGCACAGCCTCTGCACTACTGGTGTTTTCATGCGCTGGCCCTCGGCCATGCAGGACGTACCGGTGAATAATAGACGATGACACTCGCGGTCGTTTGTTTACGTTGCTTGTGGTCGCACGCGTGCCACTACTGCGGATTTCAGCGCCTTGGCATCGGCGCATGCAGGTATCTACCGCCGTAATAACTAACGATTGACACGCGTTGTTACGTTGTGTAGTCGCCGCTGACTACTGAGGTATTCAGGCTAGATGCCGTGTTCCGGGCCATTGGACCTCGTCGCTAGTGGAGTTCACTGATATCCTCACCAGCGGCACGCTCAGCCGTCTCTTCCTTCAAAAAAAAAAAAAAAAAAAAAAAAAAAAAATAAAAAAAAAAAAAAAAAAAAAAAAAAAAAAAGAAAAAAAAAAAAAAAAAAAAAAAAAAAAAAAAAAAACAAAAACAAAAAAAAAAAAAATAAAACAAGAAAAAAAAAAATACAAATAACAAAAAAAAAAAAAAAAAAAATAAGCCGACTGAGATGAGAATGTAAGAGAGCTATGTCTGCGATCGAGAGCGAGAAGGAGGGGTCGCGTCTGCCCCGCGGTAGCCCGATACATGTAGGCACTGCGTGGTCGTGGTTCCGTTGTTGTCGCCGTCATTGGTACTTCGTGGGTGAGAAGAAGGCCAGGGGTCCATCTGCCCTCCGCGTTAGCCGAATAACTGTAGACTGCTTGCAGGTCGTTGGGGGGTTTTTTCTGTTGTTGCCGCGTCATTGGTACCCCGTGGTGAGAGGAAGGGGGGGGGTCGCGTCTGCCCCGCGGTCACCCGACTAATGTTAGACTGCCACGATCGCTGTTCCGTAGCTGTGTCCCCGACGTTACCCATGCAGCTAGATTCCCTGATGATCGATTCCCTTCCCTGCGATTGCGTTTCCGTCGCTGCGTCGCGGCGGGTGTTGCTTTGCTGTGCCGAATGCGGCTGCTGCATTATGATTCTACTACTCGTGTCTGAATAGCGTGCAAACTCGCCGTACGTTTTTTTTAACCTCGATCGCTCGTGGTACACAGATTTTCCACGTTTAAAGAAATCGTGTCTGTAAAAAGAAAGGTTGCGCCGCTCATTGTTGTCTTCATCCGCATTAAAAGTCCCGCCGTTCGACGGAGAAATCTTATTTCGTAAAAAGCGTTGCGCTGTACGGATAAGAATAAGAGAAGAAGCCATTTGTGACAGACCAACCCCGGTGTTTCAACGCGTCATTTTGTTTTGCATCGTACCGTTGGAGGGAGGGAGAGAAGCCGTCTCTGGCAAACGAATTTTATTAATACGGCATTAATATCTTTGCCCTCACAGTCCGTTCCCCATGTGCTGGGAACATAAAGAATAACTTTGTTTAACGGGTCATAAAGATCGTCGCGCCGTGGAGAAAGAAGGAAGGGGTGGCAGAAAGGGGAAGAATAAGCAGCAGTTTCTGGTTCACGAACCCCGGCGTTTCAACGTGTCAATTTGTTATGCTGTCATGCCGTTAACGTTGGAGGGAGGGAGAGAAGCCGTCTTTGGCAAGCAAACTGGCGTTTAATTTTTAATTGAAAATAATAATAATTTAAAACATAAATAATAAATAATTAATAAAAAATAAAATAAAATTTTACATTTGACCATTTTTTAAGTATATTCGTCTTTTCTGTCGCAGCCCGTTCCCGGTGCAGCTGCAGAATGAGCACGTTGTCGGCGGAGATCAGGTGTTCTTGGGCATCGTGTCGCATGGACCGGACAATACCCTGCTCAGCTCCTCCTACCAGAACCGCAGCAGCCCATCCTACCAGAAGTCCCTCGGCAACACCTTAGGTACGAACCACTGCTATACCCGACGTCTTGGGTACGAACTCGTATGTACATGTACATTTACATGTATATATACATTGATATATATATATGTATATGTACGTACATATACATGTACATGTATATGTACATATACATGTACATAGGAGTTCGTACCCAAGTATGTGTACATGTACATATGGCTGGCAGCCATTTTGGGTTTGGTTCAGTGTACATAGTGAAGCTATACATGGTTTCCATGGGATTTCTCGTGTTCTTCTTATCCTACCGTGTGTTCAATGAACATGTTTGTTTCAGTGAACATAATGAAGGTTGTTCCCATGGGTTTGCTGGTGTTCTTCCCATCGTACGGAGTAATGAACATGTGTGTGAAGACCTGGCAGGACACAGGAATTCTCGACATCATCGGCCGCAGGAAGCGAATCGTCATCGAACCGAAGGGCAAGGAAGCGTTCGAATCCGTAAGTAACTAATTTAATTATTTATTGACTTAATTTAGTAATTTAATTAATGATGAAAAATTGAGTGAATAATTGATTTGATTATTTAATTTTATGAATTAAACCAATGTGTTTTTCTCTTTTAATAGTCCTTTTAATGTAATTTTAATAGTTTTTCAATATGATATTAATACAAAGGAGGTAGAACCATAATCATCGGCAATGCTTTTTTTTTTTAATACAATATTACAGGTGTTTGCTAATTCGACATCTTACAGGTTATGAATAGGATTCCAAGTTTTGTCTGTCAGATTTCAAATTAAAAAACTTTTTTTCTTTTTTCTTTAAAAAAAAAAAAAGTTTAGGGACGGTCGGTCGACCGGAAACACATCTATTTTTTTGTTTGGCCTAATGCTCACGGTCATCTGGTTTCAATTGTACACCTCAGTGTTTGTTTTTCATTGGCCTGGCGGACGTTACGGCGACCCGCCCGCCAGGAAAAGTTAACATGGCCGCCGTATTCTCTGACGTGCCGTTCTTTTGTCAGGCGATGAGTAGCTTCTACGAGGCGATCAAGGACCCGGCGTCGGGTGGCGCCACCTTCTTCGCCGTCTGCCGAGGCAAGGTCAGCGAAGGTCTCGACTTCTCGGACGTGAACGGGCGGGCGGTCGTCATCACTGGGCTGCCGTTCCCGCCGCGCATGGACAACCGCATCGTGCTGAAGATGGAGTTCCTCAAGGAGCAGAAGAGAGCTCTGAAGCAGGTGAGGATCGTGTGTGTGTGTGTACGTTACAGGCTGCGTGGCGATCTCTGCCATAGAAATGTTGGTAGTGCTGTATGTACGTCACAGCAAGCGCGGCGGAACCGGGGGAGGCAGGGGGGCACTTGGCCCCCAAATTATTATTATTATTATTATAATTATTAATTAATTTATTTTTTCTTTTTTTATGGAATTAATGTTGAGTTTAATGTTAGTCATAGTATGTTGTTCATCGTTAGCACCGGGAAACGCTTATGGTAAAAGGACACATTGTAGGTTACTTTGTGGTATTTTATACATGATAAACTTGCCCTTTTTGGCTTTGCCCCCCCTCAAATTAAATTCCACGCGCCACTGCGTCACAAGTTCGCGTTGCAGTGTGGGCCATCTCACCACTAAAAATTTAATAGTGTTTGGGAGACGACAGACTAGTCATACAATCAAATCTGTATGTAACTGTCGTTCGAGTATATATGTGTTTGTACACCCCTAAAATTGTCCTTTATAGACAGGTGTTCGTTCTATAGAGGTTTCAGCTTATACAGATACACAGGGGTAGCTGTAGCTCATTACATAGGGTGAGATAGATATATAATATAAGTAGATCATACACATACGGCTCGTTACTTACTGCACAACCCCTGGCATCTGTCCTGTTACATGCTAGTGAGATCAGGTACCAGTCTGAGCGAACGTCAGGCATCAATAGCTTTATCTCAAAGCATCGCTCTGAGTCTCCGCGTCTGCCTCCTACAGGACAGCATCGGCGATGAGGAGTGGTAAGCCTGTGCGCAAGATCGCGAGCGTCACTACAGTCCATCGGCGAGTGTTTATGCCGCCAGCCGCAGGAACTGACGTTGCTGGCAATAGTGCTGTGTACACCGAAGGTACGTGCACGGTGTGGTGTGTAGTGTGTTGTGGTGTGTGTCACCGTGTGTGTGCGTGCGGCGTGTGTGGCGTGTGTGCTGTGGCGATGGTGGGTTGTGTTATGTGTAATGTGTGTTGTGTGTACATGTGTGCGTAGCAGTGCGTGTGCGTGGTGTGGGTGTGGTGTGTATGATTGTATTGTGTGTGTGTCACGTGTGTGTGTGTGTGCGTTGCGTGTGTGCGTGGTGCGTGGTGTGGGTGTGGTGTGTATGATGTATGGTGTGTGTGTGCACCGTGTGTGTGCTCGTGCGTAGCTGTGTGGTGTGCGTGTGCGTGGTTTGGGTGTGGTGTGTGTGTGTATGTGTGTGTTGTGATCACCGTGTGTGTGCGTGCGTGCGGGTGGTGTGGGGTGGCTATGGTGTGGGGCTGGCTGTGTTGTGTGTAGTGTAATGTGTTGTTCACCGGTGTGTGTGGCGTGCGTGCCGTGTGTGCGGTGGACGTGGTGTGGGTGTGAGTGTGTATGTGTGTTGTGTGTGTCACGCGTGTGTGGAGCGTGCGTGCGTGCGTGTGGCGTGGTGGCGTGGGTGGGTGTGGCGTGTATGTGTGTGTGTGGTGTTCACTCCGTGTGTGTGCGTGCGTGCGTGTGTGCGTGGCGTGGTGTGGGTGTGTGTGTGTCTTGTTTGTGTGTAGTGTCATCGTGTGTGTGTGTAGCGTGGTGGTCATGGTTGTGGGTGTGGTGTGTATGTGTATGTGTGTGTGTCATCGTGATGTGTGGCGTGCGTGGTACGCTGAGTGTGGCGTGTGTCGGTGTAGGTGTGCTATGGTATGTGTTTGGTGTGTGTTCCCGGTGGGGTGTGTGCGTCGTGCGTGTGTGCGTGTGCATGGTGTGGGTGTGGTGTGTACTGTGTATGTGTGTGTGTACATGTGTGTGTGCGTCGCGTTGCGACGTTGCGTGGTGGCGTGTGTGGGTGTGGTGTAGATGTTGTATGTTTAGTGTGTGTGGTGTGTCAACCGTGTTGTGAGTGGCGTGCGTGTGTGCGGTGGGTGGTGTGGTGGGTGTCGTATGGTGTATGTTGTGGTGTGTCACCGTGTGTTAGGTGCGTGCGTGCGTGTGTGCGTGTTGAGCAGGTGTGGGTGTGGTGTGTATGTGTTAATGTGTGATGTGTCACATGTGTGTGTGGCGGCGTGACCGTGTGTGCGTGTGTGCGTGCGTGCGTGCGTGCGTGTGGCGTGGTGTGGGTGTGGAGTGTACGCGGAAGTGTCGGGCGAATAGAGCGCGTTTTACTTCGTTTAGAGGGTTTCGATATCCTTCAGGCTTTGTTCGTGTCGTTAGTGCTCTCGTTAAATGTTGTAGGAGTGTATTTGAAGTCTCCATCTGCATTTTTTCTCCCTCATTTTACTTACTCCATCTTTTCTGTCTTGATTGTTGTATCAAGGCAACTGACAGCACATCTTCATCGTCGTATCTCTTGCTCGTATAGTCTTTGTCCTATTCAGTGCTATACTGTAGCAACACTCGTTTTGGCTGGTTCGTCGATCGAATGTTTGTTTTCCTGCAAGGTACATACACGTCCTTTATTGTGTGTACTGTATCGTATTCAGCAATCTGTCTCTGATGTGTAGTGGAGTAGGGTAAATTAATTATAAGTATATCGTCTTATTCTACGGCTGGTGTCACGTCAGAACCCACACTCACACGTTTGAAAAATTTGTCATTACTGTGTAGGTTTATTCAACCATGTACCCATAGACTCTGCTTCATAACAGTGTTCTCTCTGGACATCGTCCTACAATCAAAAGATTTATAGAAAATTTGGTAGCCATCTGAAGGACATAACTACGTTCTTTTCAAAAGGCAGCAGGAAAGGTAGGTTTAAGATTTTTATTTTAATAAATATTTTGCATTGAAATTTATATGCCTTTACTATGCCTCCCGTCCTCTCCTCCTCCTCCCATCCCCTGCTCCGCTCTCTCCTCCTCCCTCCTTCTCTCCATTCTCTGCTGCCTCTTCCCTCCTCTCTTATCCTGCTGCCTCCTCTCTCCGCTCCTCTCCCTCCCTCCTCTCTCCTCCTCCCTCTCCTCTCCCTCCTCTCCCTCCTCCCTCCTCCCTCCTCACCATCCTCCCTCCCTTCTTCCTCTCTCCATGCCTCCCTCCCTCTCTCACTTCCCTGCCTGCCTCCCTCCTCTCTTTCCTCTCTCCGCCTGCTCCCTCCGTCTCATCCATCCTTCTCTGCCTGCCTGTGCCTTCCTCCCTCCCTCCTCCTCTCTCTGCCCTGCTCCGCTCCGTTCCTCCGCTCCTTCTCTCATCTATCTGCTCCTCTTTCCGCCTCCTCTCCCTCTCTCCCTGCTGCATCCTTTCTCCCATCCCTCTCTCCGGTCCCTGCTGCTTCCTCCTCCCTCTTCTCTCTCTCCCTCCTGATGCCTCTCCTTTCTTTCTCCTCCCTGCCTGCCTGCCCTCCCTGCCCTCTCCCTCTCCCTGCCTCCTCCTCTCTCCTACCCTTCCTCTCTGCCCTCCTGCTGCCTCCTCCTGCCCTACCTCGTCCCTACCGGTGCTGCCTATGATTCCCTCCCTCCCTCATCTCTCTCCGCTCCCTCGCCTGCCTCCCTTCGCCTCTATCGCTCCTTCTCTCCTCTTGGCTGCTCCCTCGCTCCATCCCTCTCTGTCTGCTCATTGCCTCTTCCCTCCTCCCTCCCTCTCGCCCATCTCTGCCTGCCTCCCTCCTCCCTGCTCTCGCTGTCCATGCCTCTCCTCTGCCCCCTCTCGTTGTTCCCTGCCTGCCTCCCTCGCCTCTCCCGCTCCTTTACTTTATCCCTCCTTATGTCCCGTCTCTCCATGTCCCTTTCCACTTTTCCATTCTCACGACCTCTCCTGTCTTCTCTCCGCTCTATCCTGTTTTACCGCTCGCCTTTCTACTCTCCATCTTTTTTCATCTCGTTGTTTGTATCTCAATCTGACAGTGATTGTCTTTTCCGTCGTGCGCTTCTAGTACCGTTCTCTACTTCCACTCCTTTTCTCTAAGCCGCGCATGCAGTGAGTATTTTACTCAATAAAATACGCATGATCAATAATACTCCACCGTTAATATTTCAGCGGTTCGAGCGCCACAGTGATAAAATTACTCAGGAATAGTGGTCTAAATGTCAGATCAACGTGACGTGCGCGAGCCAATACTTGGCGGCAAATGAATTTAAACGCATTTCTGGTGAGTACCCAAGTGTAGAGTAATTTACTAGCACGCAGTGCCACGACGTTGAGTAAAATGAGCAACAAGTCAAAAATTATATCAAGCACGTTTGTATTGAGTAAAATGACGGCATTGCAGTCAAATTACTCAACGAAAATCTGCTGCACACGTGAGTAAAATGACTCGCGCGTCATTTTACTTGAGTAAAATTACTCACGTGTTCGCCGGGCTTTACTCTCCATCTTTTCCTGATGTATCAATCGACTGACAGCGACTTTTGTCTCTTGCTGCATCTGCTTTTAGTACCCTTACTTGGGCAACTACAAGCAGGACCTTGCCTCGAAGCCACGCTGCTCAGGAGCCACGTTCGAACCTTCAGTCGGCATTCACGTTAGCAGAGGAAAGCGAAGGCAGAGAGAGTCAACCGATAACGATCAACTGGACGGTAGGCAAAAAAAATGGCAAAGTTGCGTTGCCACTTCAATTCAATTGAATTCAATTCAAATTATTTTATTTACGCTTATGAATTACATTTTGGAGGTAACATATTACTTAAACAAGTTAATAGACAATGCTGATAAAATTAAAACAAATGAAACTAAATAAATAGAAGTTATGGAGGGCGAAAAGACAAAGGTCAATACGAGGGAAAGCAAAATGCTACTATCACTCGTACGGTCACGGCCGTGTTAGCAGACACCTCTGTAGAGAGGACACCTGTCTATAGAGGACACCTGTCTATAAAGAACACTTGGTCTATAGAGGACACTTGTCTATAGAGGACACCTGTCTATAGAGACACCTGTCTATAGATGACACCTGTCTATAGAGGATGCCTTTTGATAGACGACGCCTGTCTATAGAGGACACCTGTCTATAGAGGCACCTGTCTATAGAGGAGACCTGTCTATAGAGAATGCCTGTCTATAGAGGTCACCTGTCTATAGGGGACACCTGCCTATAGGGAACATCTGTCTATAGGGGACACCTGTCTATAGAGGACACCTGCCTATAGGGAACATCTGTCTATAGAGGACACCTTTCTATAGAGGACACCTGTTTATAGAGACACCTGTCTATAGATGATGCCTGTCTATAGAGGACACCTGTCTATAAAGGACACTTGTCTATAAAGGACACCTGTCTATAGGGGACACCTGCCTATAGGGGACACCTGTCTATAGAGGCCACCTGTATATAGAGGACACCTGTCTATAGAGGACACCTGTCTATAAAGGACATCTGTCTATAGGGGACACCTGTCTATAGGGGACACCTGTCTATAAAGGACACCTGTCTATAGAAAACACCTGTCTACAGAGGACATCATCATATATAGAAGCATCATCTAACGTGAAATTCAAAACAACGTAAACATTTAGGATGAGCGTGATTGAGGTGATGTATATAGGGAGTGGTCGTTCAAACTACGAGTCGTTGTAGGGTGTCGTTTATATAGGGAGTGGTTTACAGGGAGTCACATATATCCACTTATATAGTTGACATTGCTATTTGAATTATAATAGTTGACATCACTGCGCAATATGGAGGCATAAAGAAAAGCCGCACCGAAGAAAAGCTGGGGTTGTTTGAAGCTATGGATAAAAGTTCCAAGGTAAAGCGATGTCTGTAGTGGTATATATATTTACTCTGATTTAATTATTAAATTACCATATCGACACGCTTCTGTGCATTTAGGATGCCTATTCAAAACTTGGGAGTACATGTAAAAGCGTTGTGATGACAAACATAGTTGCCCTTCTTCGTTATAGTCCCTTGGAACTTATGAGGTTATGAATGTGTATTTGTTCGGTCAGCTTCCTTCGACTCTATAAACCTTTTAGTATGGTTAGTGAATATGTTACGTGCATGCATTTCAGGTTACTTTCTCTGGGTACCAAGCGAACACTGCATCGTTGAACCCCTTTGGGAATTCAGCGATGCAGAAACCACGGCAACAAGCAAGCCAAACCAGGAAGAAAATCAAGGTACATGCTGTATTTGCTAATGTGCGCCAATCCACATACTAATTCTCTATCGTTATTTATTGTTGTGTATTGCATATTATCATGGGTGAATGAATAATGACAGACACCCTTCACCACTGATATTATCGTTATTACTGGTCTCACGTACCACGAGTACTTTTTTTATGGAAAGCCTTTATCAGGTGATATGTAATATTAATCTGACAACCAGGAAACCAGTCTGTGATGTGGGTGACCTGGCTCTAAACAATTACAGGTAGTTTGAAAGTTCTGAGACTATCAGGTTGTGGCTGTGACGATGATTCCATCAATACCTTTAAACTTGTCAGGGCAATTTCTCCTCTTAGTCAGTTATCACCGTAATGTCATTCCATCTTACAGTTATTCTAGTTATTAACTAGGACTGCGTATATACATATAGTGGTATTATGTGAGTGTAGTACTACTGTATACGCTGTATATTTCACGGTGGTTTAATTTGCGCGAATTTCGCGAACGCGTCCCCGACCGCGAAAATAACAACACGCGAATAATTCATACCGAATAATACCGAATAATCCATAATTCTCCGACCGCGAATTCGCGAAAATATTGCGTATACATGCAGTATATATGACTGTCTATGAATGTGTACTAGGGGTATTATACCGTATCACCTGAACATTCTAGATCATATCTCGTCACGACCTGTGTGACGACTCAGCCGACAGCACCCCCACGGAGAATGGTGGGATGACAGAAGCCACGAAGCCAACACCGGAGGGGACAGCACACGGCAGTGGCGAGGCAAAGCTGCTGCTGCTGCCATCTGCTGGCAACGTAGGGAAGCCGACGCCCGTCACGCGCGAGGCTGCCGAGAAGAAGAGGCTGAAAAAGGGCACCGTACTCGATTTCTTTACATCGGTAATTATCGTTTAATTACATACTATTATTAATGCAATTAACGATGAACATTCCAATTAATGCATTATTAAATAATCGGGAGATAACGTCCTCGCAACGTAAAAAAAAAGTGGCTTGTGTTTGTTTAATTAACGTATCAATTTTGCGTAATATTTTAAATATCTTATTTCTTAGCTTGAAGTTATCTGTCAGTGTATTTTCAATCCCATATAACCTTGGTAAGTACCAATGAGGCAGCCTGTGCTTGCGTTACCAGGTTGCAAAGTGCATCGGGCAGGAAAACTTCAGCAAGTTTAAAATAGCATTGCATCAGTACACTCTCATCAAAGATCTGCAGGTGTTCCTCGACACTCTCTTCGGACTCTTTCCTCCAGATCACCTCGAGTTGTACGTAGGTAGGTTCGTCAGAAATCTGGCAAGCATTCCAGAAAAATGTTACCTCTTTCTTCATATGTTACATAATTTTACTTACATCTTGAATCTTGAATCTACATCGTTTAGCTGTGCTGCAGATACAAGATTCAGATTCAAGATTCAAGATG